CATGCAGGGCAGGCTGGGCCAGCTGCGGAGCGTGGGCTTGTTCCAGATGAGCGTGACTGGGTCTAGCTCTGGACACGCTGGATTCCTGCCAGAGCTTCTCACTTTCCTGGACAGTTGCAGGGCAGGAGGAGCTTGGTGTTTCCACCTTCTCTGGCTGCTTCTGCCTCACCTGCTGTGTTGCCTGTGGGTACCTTGCATGCTCCAAGCCTCCCCCACCCCTGCAGTGTCCCAGAGTTTGTTCCTCAAACATGTCACTTTTTTTTTTTTTTCGTCATAAAATTGATCTTTGTCATGTATTTATCTTCCTTGTGTGATCACACTTCCCTTTTTTTATCAGCAATAAATTTCACCTTTATACTTCCTTCTGTGTTAAAATTATTAGGTTCAGTGAGTTCAGAACTTAGTCCACAGGGTCTAGTAATGACTGCTTTTTAACCTCTTAATCTCTTTCTTGATATTTCCCCTCCTGCGGCGTGTTCCCTTTCCTTTAGGTAATTTAGCCTTTCCCAGAGCTCCCTACTCTTGTTAGCTCACAGTTTGAGTGTTAAAATAAACCAAATGTTTACCAAAGAGCAGGATGTGTAATGTCTTAGCTGTAGGCCACATTGGAAGAAAAAAAAAATGCTATTGTGTCAGAGAAAGCTGTCAGGTGAGTTTTGACAGAGGTGAACTTGGTCAGTCTATTGTGTTCTGTCCCATTTTTCTTATTTCCCTCTGTTCTTACTGGTTGCAGGGAAGGAGCTCTGATGTACTGCCTTGTTCATCCCATCCAGGCTGAACCTGACAGAATTTGTCAGCATATTTTAAAGTCTTTTAATGCATCTTTTTTTTTCTTTTTTTTTTCTCTCTCTCTTCCAGATCAAAATGTGTGAAACGTGCCAAAATGCAGAGCACAACAAGAATGTAGCGCGGAAAGCAAAGCCTGTCAAAGTGGAATTCCCCTGGGAGGTGCTGGGATTAGACATCCACGGTGGGTGCTTACGGCTGGCAAATGGGCTCGCCGGCCCTCAGAAGCACCTGGGAGCAAAAACTGCCTCCATCTGTGACAGGGAAGCGCCGAGGGGGCCTTAGCAGCCTGCTGAGGTGCAGCCTCATCCGCACGATTGGCTCTGTATCCTCCCTGTGCACAGCAGGAGTCGTGGGTGTGCATCACTGCCCAGATTGGGACGGTGACGCATGCTTTTTTGCTGACAAATGCCATGGAAATGTACCTGTCAAATGACATTACAGAGCAGGATTGCAGTTGTTTACCTTTTCGCAGTGATCATTTTGCTGGTCTGGGTTATTACTTTCCTTGTTTGGGTGATATTACAGAGTGGCATTGATTTTTCTTGGTAATTGTTTTGTAGGACCTTTCCCTGAGACAAGCCAGAGCAACACACACATCCTCATTGTGACTGACTACTTCACCAAGTGGACTGAAGCTGTTCCTCTGCAGAAGAAAGATCCCTTAGCAGCAGCTAAAGCCCTGGCTACGATTTTTTACAGGTGGGCTCTTTTGTCACTCATTGTATTGTATCTCTGCAGAAAGACAGGGATCTTGGGACATGTGATGCAGAAATACTCTATGTCCACAAGATGATTCCCTGAAAGAGCTACAGGGAAGTCTGCAATGCCTCTTGGCTGCCCTTCACAAAGTATCTGGAAAGAATCTGTTACCCTCTATTTTTTAGAGGTGGGGAGAAAGACTGAGGTAATGCCTGTCTCTTTAGCACTGAGCTCTCTTGGAGGGCCCCTGTCCTTTTTCATCCCCTTTTCCATGGGGCATGAACTCTTCTGACTTTGCCCTGAGACTGATGACATGTGGCCGTGTGTCCTCTTGTTGTTCAGGTTTGGAGCATCCAAGAACATTTACACCAGTCAGGGCTGGGACTTCTGTGAGGAGGTAAGTCAGGCATGGGATGGTGCAGGGAAAAGCCATGGGGCTTGCAGCATTTTCTTTTAGGCAGGGGGTCCCAAAGACAGAGCCACAGCACGCCGGGCACAGGGTACCACAGGCTGATGCCACCTCCTCCCTGCCCTGTCACAAGCAGGGGCTGACTTGCCAGTGCTTTCACTGCAAGGGATTTCACTGTTAGGGATTTGGAAGCTGTGGTTCTGTAGTGCAAGTCACACCTCCAGAGCAGCCCTTCCCCTGCAGGAAAGGGTCCTGAGAGGTGATGCCAGTGAGCTTGCTGCCCTGCCCTGCATTAGCCTGGCTTCCCAGCACTGTGGAAAGCCCCAAACAGAGATAGGTGTTGCAAAACCTTTTGTCAGGCTCTGACATTCCTGCAGAGCTTGGTGTACGCCCAGACCTTCCTCCCATTCCTGTAGCCTTCTCAGGCCTTCAGGAGAATTTCTGCTCAGTGGGTTTCATTAGAAGTGATATTGAGTCAATTTGCTTTAACCAAGTACATTAAATAAGGTAACCTAGCTGCCTCTGACTGACTACCTGTCTATTTAACATCATTCAGGGACCTGTAGTAGGTAGACACAAGAGTTTCAGTTGTGACCTGGTGTTTCTAGCTGTTCCCGATGCCAGATCCTTTCAGCGCCAGAGCATGTAGTTTAAGGCACTTAGAAGATGGGTTCCCAAACCTGTTCTTCATGACTGCCAGTGAAGCTCACTGCTGGGCAGCCTCCCCTGGGCCTGCACCATGCTGCTCCTGTGCCGGGGAGGCTCTTAGCTGACTGCTGTGGTGGTGCAGACCCACCTTGCTCTCGGGTGGGCATAACCCCCTGCCTTTGCAGGTCAGCCGGCATTTGTGTGAGCGCTGGAACATCTCACAGATCCTCACCCCTGCAGAGCCCGCAGACTGCACTGCCCTGGATGACCGCAGCACTGAGCTGCTCAGATCCTCCATCTGCAATGTGGTGAACGAGAAGCCCGGTGAATGGGATGCCCACCTCGATCCCGTGCTCTTCGACTTCCGCACCTCGGTGAACTCTGTCACAAAGTACACCCCCTTCTTCCTCATGTTCAACCGATACGTGTGCTTGTCGTCTGAGGTAACTTCTTGATAAAGGGGACTCGTGGAGGGGGTTTGTCACTGTCCAAAGTAACACCCAGACAAATAACACTCAGTTATCTGTACATTGCAGCTGGATTTTGTTAAGAACTCTAAAGAACAGGGAGCCAGCTCCACTAAGACAGACAGCCTCCCACCGTTCACAGCCGCAGTGCAGGAGCAGCAGAACGCAGTGAAGGAAATTGTAAGTCTTGCAGTGCTTCAAGATCATTTTGTCGGCCTCTGAGCTCCCCACAGTGTCCCTTGCAGCAGGGTGCACCAGGACAGATTTGACCGTACAAGTGCCATGTGAAGACACATGCTCATGCACACAGAGATGGCCCTTGGCTCCATCTGTCCAGATGGAGCGGGACCATCTCGCAGGTGTCTCTCCTCTGGACATGGAAGGTGACTGATGGGCTCAACCCACCGGTGCAAGTGGAGGGTGTGAGGGAGGGCTCGCGGGAGGCCTCGCGCTGCGGACGCCCACAGTGCTCATCTGGCTGGGGAAGAGGGAGGGAGCAGCTAGTCGAGCGGTGCCTGAGATGCCACCACTCTGACTTGAGAGGTGGGCAGTGAT